TTATACACTACTGGTAAAAATGCAAATTGGCGCAATCGCTATGAAAAACAGTATGAAATTTTTTTAAAACTAACAATTGAATTACCATATGACCCAGCAATCCCTCTCCTGGGTATTTACCCAAAAAACCTGAAAATTTGTATCCGCAAAGATATATGCACACTGATGTTCATAGCAGCATTATTCATGGTGGCCAAGACATGGAAGCAATCAGTGTCTTACAACAGATGAATGGATAAAGAAGATGTGGTACATATGTACAATGTAATATTACTCAGTCATAAGAAAAGATGAAATACTGCCATGTGCGACAACCTGGGTGGATATTGAGACAATCATGCTAAGCAAAACAAGTCAGACCGGAAAAGTTGCAAACCACATGATATTTCTCATGTGTGGGATATAAAACTGAAAGGAACAAACAAATACGGCAAAGAGCGACTCATGGACATGGACGGTGGATTACTGGTTACCAGAGGGAAGGGGTAGAGGAAGGAAGTAGTTAGGTGCAAATGAGTCAAATATTTGGTGACGGAAAGAAATCTAACTCTGGGTGGTGACCACACAACACAATATATATACAACTTACTGTTGAATAATACATTTGAAACTTATTTGATTTTGTTAATAATGTCACCCCAATATAATCTTTAGTCCACATATGTGATGATTTATTTCTGGGCTCCCAATTTCATTCCATCCAAAAATTTCAGTTTTCTTATTTCGTTGCCAAAAATATATCGACTTCCAAGAAGGTACAATAGAACCCCAGGGTCAACTTCCATCTTTTTGTTTTAGCTTTTATTGAACACAACTGAGAATTCAGAAATTTGTTTTATTGCCCATAGTGATAAAGAATAGAATATTGTTAGAAGAAGACACTTGTAATTTGTAATCAGACAAATGTAGAGAAACAGAGAGCAGAACTTAGTCTGTAATGAATGGTGATGTTGAAATGGATCATACAAATGAAATCTCATACTATGAGCCTTCAGATACTGTTATCATAATTTTCCTCCAACTCAAAATTCAAGGAGTGAACACAGTATTTCTCATGACAAGGAAATATGGTATTCTCATCCAGTTAGTCAGACTTCAGCATGCAATATTTTGTCATAAATATCTGGAACATTCTACATTGTAAAGAAGATCTAGAATAGTATCCTTTCATCTTTTACAGCATTTGGATATGAACATTAATTCGATATGGTTCACAAGTGGACAAATATGTATACAAAACTGATGGAAGGAGTTAGATAGTGCAAGAGTGATAAACATTAAGATTAATCATTTTAATTGTTGTTTATAAATATAAAATAAAAATATGTTCAATTACCGTATAACATCATTTCCAATTGTTTCAAAGAAAATGAAATAAATATGAAAAAAGAAAATATTCTATAAGAAAACATGCACTATCTGCTGAAAATTTAAAAATTCTGTGAAAGAAATAAAATAAGATCTAAATAAATGGAGAGGAAAACTGTGCTCATAAATTGAAAGATTCAATAATACATAGTAAAGAAATAAAACCTTCTTAAACTTATCCACGGGTTTACACAATTTGTATTACAATCACAACAAGATTTTTTGTAAATATAGACAAACTTATTCTAAAATGTGTAAAAAGAAAGGAGAGACCCTAGGATAGCCAAAACAATTCTGAAAAAGAAGAATAAAATGGGAGGAATCGCTCTTCCCAATGTTAAAAATTACTGTACAGCTACAATAGTCAAAACAGTGTAGCACTGGTGAAAAGAATGAGACATAGAAAAATGAAACAGGATAGAGAACTGAGAAATACACCAACATGAAAACATCCAATTAAATTTTGAATAAGGTGCAAAAACAATTCAATGAATGAGAAATCGCTTTTTCAAAGAAATGCGCTGGGGCAAATGGACACTCATTAATCAAAAAAGTTAATTTCCCATTCTTTATAAAAAGTAGCTCAAAATGGATCACAGACTTAAATGTAAAAAATAAAACTACACCTTTTAGAAATATAGCAGAACATCTTCAGGACTTAAGATGGACAAAGAGTTCATATATTTGACACCAAAGCATGATCCATAAATGAAAAAAGTAGGCGTTATCAAAATAAGAATTTTAAAAATTTAAGCTCTGAGAAAAAAATAATTACAGGCTTAGAGAGAATATCACATATGCAACAAATCACATATGCAACAAAATGTATGTATCTAGAAGACGAAACAGCTCTGAAAACCACAAAATCCAAAAGGAAAATGATCAAAAGGTATGAACAGACTTTTCACCGAAGAGAATACAGAGATACCAAATTAAATATATTAAAGATATCGGATATTATTACTCATTAGGGAAATAATGTTCTATTGGCTATTTGAGGCACATAATATATTTTCAGGTTTACAACATCTATATAATTAAAATATATAACAACAAAAGTGCCAATGATGAAAAGACATTAAGGGAATTATACTGTTATGAGATTTTTTACACTGTGAAGTTAGAAAAATCAAATATGCTCCATTTGGTCATGAATGTTCACCAAATAAATTTAAAAATGTTTTGTACCATTTACTATTTGATTACTATAATTATGGAAGGTTCTGCTATGTTTGCCTTTCTACAGTTTGGTTAATTAAGATGCACCTTATGAACCAGGATATCACAATAGTTAACATCCTGGAATATAGAATATAATAAAATTATCTCCCATAATTTTTTAATACCAACCTAGAAATCTCTGCTGGGTAAATAGAAATGTTTGGGGAACCACAGTTAAAATTAATAAGAGACCTATTAAGATCTTCACTTTAAATTTGAATTAAGAGTGTATACAAAATTTTATTGACAGTGTGATCGATAGTTGCACTGTCTAATATAGTAACCACTAGTGACAAGTGACTATTTAAATTTAAATTAAATAAAGAGAAATAAAATGGAAATTTTAGTTCCTTAATGCTAGGTGCTCAAGAGCCACATAAATAGTGGATATGTAGAACATTTCTTTAAGTGCAGAACGGTCTATTAGAGCACAATGATTTAGATACTAACCTCCTCCGATTATAGACCAATACCCATCATCGATACTTCCTCCCGGTGATGATGGCATTAGCTCACAATTTGGAGGACCATATCCAACATCACAATGACAATTGTTTCGACTGTTACACATCTAAAACCAAAACCAAAAAAATAATGAAAACGTTACATAAAAAATAAATGCATTATTTAAGATCATTAGTCAATTTAAATTATTAAAGGATTCTAACTTAATAGGTAATTTTTATTTTAACAGGAAAAATAATTTTTTTAAATAAAATTCAATAAAATAAATGTCCTTGCAATATCTTTTCAAATATAATAGAAATTTTCTATTATTTGTCTCTTGTATTTTTAAGATAACATTCTTGATACAACTGAAATGCCTTATTCTAGAAAGACATAGAAGTTATGAGGCTAGAAATTATAAAATAGTGGGAGTTGAAATTTATTATGAATTGTGCTAGATTAAAAAAAGTAGCTGTGAGAAGAGCCAACTTTTACCAAAAAAGAAAAAAAAGAGAAAAGAAAAAAGAAAAAGAAAATGGGAGAAAAAACTAAAGGGAGAAGCTTGCTTAAACAGCTACAGATAACAAAATTTATTTTGCTAAAAAATAGGAAGGCTAGAAAATATCTATAAAGGTGATCTGGCAGATGAGTTGAAAGAAGGGTCAGAAGCAGATAGAGAACCCAGAAACAAGTTCATAAAAAATTTCATTAAAATTAAATAAGGAAAGAAAGAAACAGAAAACAAACTGTCAATAATAGGACATGTGAGTGATTAAGGAGAAAATGTTGAATCAAGACACACAGACATGTCATTTTTTTCCTGGATTACTATGTAATATTTGAAGTGTCAATATGGTAGAGGCACTAGCCACAAATTTAAACCAAAGGCATGCTTGGAAGACTTTCCAAAGTTTACAAAATTTCTGTAACACATCAGATAATTTCACAATGAATGGACAAATAGAAATGCAAATGGCAAATATGAACATACATGCTTACTTAAGAACTGTATCATTAATTATTCAATAAATGCAAATTAACAATAGATTTAACATGTTAGATTTTTTAAAAACTGAGAAAGCAGTCTGGTCAGAATTTGAGGAGATGCACCTTTTCATATATGATAAGTTGGAGCACAAACTGGTATACTGTTTCTTGAAAACAATATAATATTACTGAAAATTTTAATGGTGCATATATTTAGCCCATCAGATTTCATTGCTAAAAGTTTACGAAATCACATAAATATGCAAAGGTGAATGCACAACAATGTCTATTGCACCACTATTTACAATAATTAAGTAAATATTTAACATTATACAAAAGTCTATTAGTGAATGACTTTTCAAATATAGTATGGAAGAGGATACAGGAAAACAAATTGATGCCATTTAAGGGTAAAAAAGATCTGACTAGACAAGAAATTCTGTTCTTACAAAAATATTAGACTATGCAGCATTATTCACCATGGCCAAGACATGGAAACAGCCAAAGTGCTCTTCTATAAATGACTGGATAAAGAAAATGTGGTACATATATACAATGGAATACTACTCAGCTATAGTAAAAGATGAAATAATGCCATTTGAGACAACATGGATGGATCTTGAGATTATCATGCTAAGTAAAATAGTCAGACAGAAAGAGTTGAGAACTCTATGGTTTTACTTATATGTGGAATATAAGACTGGAAGCAACAAATAAGAAAAACAAACAAAAACTCATAGACCCAGATAACAGTTTAGTGGTTACCAGAGAGAAAGAGGGGAGGAGGGAGGTAGATAAGGGTAAAAGGGGTCAAATATACGGTGACAGAGGGAAATTTAATTTTGGGTGCTGAACACACAATTCAATATACATATGATATATTATCAAATTATACACTTGAAACCTATATAATTTTATTAACCAATGTCACCCCAATAAATTAAAAAAAAAAGAATAACCAACACAGAAATATTAAACTATAAATATTATGTGTGAAATATATGTTGTGCATGAGTGTTTATATATTAATATATATATATTCTCAATTAGAGACAATGTTTATGTATGTATAAATGTATATTTATAACCTCTAATAAACCCATTTCCAAAACTCTACAATCTTGATCTAATATTATAATAATACATGTTTTGTACTAAGTTCAAAGCTTATTGGCTCATGAGCCTATAACAATCTGATCGAACACATACATCACATTCATATGTACAAATAATGTAATCTGCTTTCTTTATTTAACTGCAATTTTCCCTAAGAAATTTTCATATAGAATAATTCTGAACCTTATTATTATCCTGGAAATGTTATTGACATGGATTATAAAAAATATATATAAAAATAGAGTGATCATTCTATACCCCATGTCCACTGCAATTTTTTTGTGAATTACAGTTTTCTTGTCTCTGGAGCTCAGAAATCAATTTGCAATATCCGCCTTCACAAATCTAAAAGGTTAAAACAATCAACAACAACAAAAACAAACATGAAATATAAAAAGATGAGCAATTGTACTTGATACAAAACTAGATTCACAAAATATGTATATGTATGCATGTGTGTGATATATATTTATCAGATGTATCTGGATTTTATGACATCTGTTCATTCTAATAAAAGAATTTATTACTTTATCAATTATGAAATATTGTGAGTCAGATACTATTTTTCCCCTAAGGGAGCAGAACTGTGTGTTTATTGATACAGAGTGGCATAAGAACAAAAAGAGCCAACTTGTACCGATAACTTGTAATGAGTTATGATCTGCCTTAGCACTTTCTATGCATCCTTATAACATGTATTCATATTGATACCATAAAACAGATGTTTTTAATCCTATTTTATACTTGATGAGAATTAAATTTACATGTTTAAGACCACGCCCTGAGTGGCCAATATTCAGTGCAAGAACTATTTTACTCACAGAGCGCATTGATCAATGCTAAATACAAGTGTTTCTGTAATCTTTACATTTTTTCCAACTTTAATAATAATATCTCTTGTCTTTCACTTTATGTTAATATTCCTCTACCCAAATTTTAATTTAATTTGAATATATTTGGGGGAATGCTGTAAGATTATCTGCTTGCTTTTATCATCTGATAGAGTATATAATATATGATAAAGAGTCTAAATCATTCATTATTGACCACCAGCATGGTAAATAAAGGTGAAAACAGTTATCAGCTTGTTCATTAACTTAAAATGCTCTGGTGAAGCCAGCAAGATAACAAAATGTTGGGCAAACCAGCATTACCTGTCCACAAAGCTACTTTTATTCTAGTGCACCTTAAACACTGTCATTGAGGCAGTAATAAATTAGTCATACTTCACTGGGTTGTTTTCAGAGAAAAAAATAAGCCACAAATGTTAAGACCTATGCTTCTGACATAACTCCCCTTAAATAGATCATTTTTTAGCTGACTCTTTCGTAATGACAAAAAAAAGCAAAGACGTGGCTGGGATGATGTTCTGAATATGAACTAGATTATAAGACTTCTTCCTTTGAACAAGAGACGCAAATAGTGTTCAAGAAATGGTCACATCACAGTTCAAAAAAAATCCCTAAGATAACTAAAAATATATTTCCAAAGGAGAAATGCCAGAATTTCTCCTAAATGAATTATTTATTCATTGATTAGCTTACCAATTTTTAGACAATTACATACCCCAAAGATATTCCTTTTCAAATTTGAAATGATTGTGCTGAGATATGTTTATCTCCCCTAGCATATCCAAGTGTGCTAGGATCAGTTTAATAAACTATTCTCTTGTTCTGTCTTATAAATAAAAAATTCAAAGACACTTTCTATCACAACCAATATTAAGCAAACTAGCATTACTGGAATAATGCCTATCTCCATGTAGAATATTGTCCATTTTGTATTACAGTATTAAATTTATGAGTGTTTTATTTAGAATTATTATTATATAATAAGGGAGACATATTTTCCTTCATGGTGATAAATAAGAAATAAACTCTCTCTGACTCTACTTCATTCTCTCTCTCTCACTCTCTGTCTCTCTCCCTGTCTGTCTCTCTGTCTGTTTCTCTATCTCTTTCTGTCTCTGTCTGTCTCTCTCTCTCCCTCTTCCATGCATACACACACATACACAGACACATACGTACCATATATAGAATAAAGTGAAATTTGTATTTACCTTATTTGCACCACATATAGTGCCATCATATACATATGTTTTATCATTTCTTGTAGGTACTTGTGATTGATTTCTTAAATATCCTGACATACATACATGTCCTCCAAGGTAAGTATATTGAATATCAAAATCTGTACTTGGTACTATACGTGAATGTGTCCAGTGACAAACAATCTTTCCACAAAGGGTATGTCTGGCAATATAAGGCAGAAAAGTTTTCCCATATATCATGTAGGGACACCATGTATTAAATAAACAACAATTCAAAATATGAGTATATTTTAAAAGGTACTCAGACTGCAACACCAAAGCTATTCAGAACACATACCATCTTATGAATTGCAACATATAAATTCATCCGTATATATTATATTCATCTCTCATTTGTATTAAGTGACTCTCTGCAGCACACACACATACATACACATTTGGAAAAAGTATAATTTTCTAAATACATACCTAAAATCACACCTGTTTTTATCGCAGTTCCCAAAGTCATCTTGTAGAAAATTCACTTCTTCTGCACATAGGTAAGTAGAAGCTTTAGCAACTGAAAATATTAATAAAGTTCCAATTACTCATCTTAAAATAAAACATCAAAAAGTAAAAGTGTAGCAAATTAATATAGAGATATTTAGACAGCTGTAATGACCAGTCAATGTAATCTTCTACAAATTTCTGATATCATCCATTGGCTAACAACAGAAGTATTTTCAAGTAGGTAGTTTTTAGTAAGTGTTTCTAAGGAGAAGTGTTTCTCCTTCTAAGGAGAAGTGTTTCTCCTTAGAAATACTTACTAAAAACTACCTACTTGAAAATTACTACTACCATCGTACAGGAATGATTAAGAAATCAAACAGCCCTTTGCTCTCTTATCTACAATTCTAATCATCTATTATTCTCTTTGTACCAATCACCTGGAATTTAACAAATGTTCTATATTCTCTTTGTCCTGTACCTATTTGGTCTGTTTTACCTCTTGACATAATTCAAAATTGCTTTGATCTGCAATTTTATTTTCAAATTTGGATGTAAACAAAAAATACTTTTTATTGTGGCACACTTTTCGTAGCATGGACTACTAATTTTAGAAAAATGCCATTTAAAAATAAAGCCCAGAAAAAAAGATATACATTTTCCAAACAACTCCACACACTGTCGATCCGGATCTCGGCATCTTCCCTTATAGCAAAAGGCAGTTTTATTACTACATGTTTCAAAATCAGCAGAAGTTATATCATTTAAACAAAATTCAGAATTTCCATCACAAAATTCTGTAAAATCACATGGATTAGTGCTTATCCGACATATACGTCCTCTTTCAGATATCTGTGAGACAAAGAAAAACAAATATTTTTTAAAGCACTAAACCAAAAATGTAAAAAATTGAAATAGGAGCATTTTGTTTGTAGCTATTATTTCCATTATTATTGCATTTTGAACTACTTAAAGATAATTATAAATTCACTTTAAAGTTCTAGAAAAATAGATTGGAAAGAACCCAAATGTCCATCGATAAATGAATAGATAAACTGTAGTATTTACATACGATAGAATATTTTCAGCCATATATAAGAATGGAAGATTGATATATGCTAAAGGTGAATGAACTTTGAAAACACTATATTAAATGAAGAAAACCTGACACCAAAAGTCACATATTGTTTAGTTGTATTTATATGAAATCTCCAGAGTAAGTAAATCCATAAAGACAAAATGCAGGTTGGTGTTTGACAGACACTGAGGGGAAGGGAGAAAAAAGAGCAAGTGCTTAATGGGTCAGAGGTTTTCTGTTTGGGTAATGAACATGTTTAGGAACTAGACAGAGGAGGTGGTTGTACAACACTGTTAATATACTAAGTCACTGACTTGTTCACTTAAAAATGGTTAATTTTATATTATGTGATGTTGACCTCAATTTTTAAAAAAGGCTTTAGTGAAAGCTTTCATAAGGCCATGGTTGTCCTGAATATTTGTTCAAGATAAATAGAAATAAGTGATACAAAGCTATGCATATTTATTTTTCAATTTTCAATTCTTGGGGACTAACTGTACTCCTGAAATGCTGTATAAGAGCAGATGCTGTCTTTACGATATTGTTAAAACATTGCTTAATAGACATCTCTTTCATTTTTGTCATTTCAAGTAATTTTCCTTTCAGGACCTACTAAACTTCTACCATGAGGGAGTTATAAGTCATAAACCCACTTCTGACTCAGGATGATACTCAGAACACTTCTCCCTAGACATAGTGATTGGTACAGTGGTGGGAACTTAGGATTAGCCATGGTTTCCTCCAGAACCAAGGACTAAAAAGCACATGTAGAAAAAGATCCCTCTACTCTTCTGAAATACTGTTCTATAACCTAGAAAGGCCAGGAGGTGGGCACAATGAGCTATCTATATCACTTACAAAGAAACTTTTTTTGAGAACTGTCAACAAAAAAGCAAGGATACACAATAGAGGTACAGAATAAGAATTCTGTTGTTCCTGTTCGAAACAAAGATTCACCTGAGCATGAGCTAGACTCATCTTTTACTTAAGCTTCATAAGTGTTTGTTTTTCTTTGCTTGGCCATTCATCAAGATACAACTGACCAAAACATAATTGGTATTATACAGTACCAATTGCACTTTTTAAAATTACTTATAGGAATGTCTGAGTACTGATTAGAAATATGTTATTTACTGTGATGTTTCAGCAAAACAATTGATTAAACTATCGTCTTCCATATCTTCGCACTTGCATTTGTGTCCATTTAAATTTAAATTTTATTTTTAAAAAATTGGATCAAATCACTAAATTTCAGAAAAGCACCAGTGGAAACTAGGCTACTTAAAGTAGAGAAGAAAATAGGAGGCCTTTTATTTTTATGACCAATAATGAAAGAGAGCAGAGTATAACACACCTCTGATCATTTAAATGACAGCAGAAACCAAACTGATGTTATAACACATAATAAAACCAATGTACACTAATGTAGTACACTTAGCTGTTTCCCTGAAGCCCTCCGTAGCACCTTGTACTGTGAATTCTCACTAGACTAAATGTAGCGATTACCTCCACTTTAAAGAACTATCCTTTGGGATCTAGGTAAAAGGGAATGTACTGTTTAGAAAAGCCTTATTACTCAATAACATTTATTTGGAGACAGGGGTCAAGATGAGAGCTCTGGAAAATGGAAAAGTAACAAGGTTCAGTGCTAAGTAGAATGCCTATGCTGGTCTCTACAGTCGTGTACCTTGAAAACAAATATCCATTGGCTTTAATTAGTAGACAATAGATTTTTAAAAAGAACAATATAAAACAAAGTATTATAACGTTAGGAGAGATTTCATTGGCAGAGGAAAAATTAGATCTGGTAAGCAAAATATCTCATTAATTAGCTTGTATATTTATCCATCTGAAAGTGACTCAAAATAGATGAGATGCTACAATGAAGCAATCCATAGAAGACAAATCTTACCCCATGTCCTCTCAAATGTGTCTACAGAAAAAAACTGAATGGAAAACTTCCAAAGGGAAGTCAAAGATTCAGTTCACTTCCAGGCTAGAAGTCCTTGCCAAAGCTAGACTTCACGATTTTATATGATACATATTGCTAACTATTCTACATGGATTTATTCTCTACTGTTTTCAAAATGAGATTTTTAAAGAAATTACTGTCTTTTATTTGAATATTGCATGTCAAGTGTGTATTAAGTGGCTCATTCACAGTTCTGTCATATGTCGTTAGATGATGAAGAACTTCATTCAGGTGTGACCAAAAGGAATTTGTAACATCCAAATAATTTAGAATTGGTATTGAACGCAACAACTGCATAGGTCTTGAATAGAGACTGAAATGATAGAGCAGAAGGTGAAGCTGAGAAGTAGGTTGAAAAAGATTTAAGAACATTCTCTGAATTCTGAAACCAACTGTGTATGAATTGGGTACACAATGTAACATATTTGAAATATGTGTAAAAATAAATTTTTTTAAAGCTATAAAAATGAATGCATAAGAACACAAAAAAATTCATGAAATAAATTAATGTAATATTTTAAATGTTTACCTGACAACTGTTTTTATCACAGCATGGTCCACTGCCACATTCTGACTTGCCGATCAGAGTACAATTTTCAGGATGACAGCATTTTTTATGACTACATTGCTAAAAGCAAATATAATCAAGTTAAATAATTAGAATTTTTAATCAAATAAATAATTTTGTTAAAAACATACAAAAGTTTGTCTCTAAGTTAATTCAATCACAGTATAGTTTTTACTTCTGTATTTATTTTTAACACCACTTCATTCTAACTTAATATATTTTCAATATGGGGGAAAAATGGTAATGAAATTATTCATGATTCCATGCTCAAGAAATTGAAATGTTAAAATTTAATACAATTCCTTTCAATCATCTTTGGTTTTGTAAAAATATGCACAATACATTTTTAGATTTTTTTTCATATAATACATCATAAGGACTTTTCCATAATATCAAGTCTTCTCAAGGTATCATTTGGGGAAGAAGCATGGTAGTGTGAGGGGTCCCTTTGATCTCTCCCCTTGAAACTACAGCAAGTTGAAAAGCTATAATTCAACAGAATATTCCCAGCCTAACAAACAAACACTTCTGAGAGAGCTGCACATCAAAGCATCTGAAGGTGAGCAAATAAGATGAACAAAGGAGGATGAAAGCAAGAAGAATGGAGACAGGTGAAGAGTGGAGACAGGTGCCATGGATGCAGCCTAGAGTCCCCAGGGAACTCGGGGAGGGAAAAAGAATCAGGCTGAGGTGTGCACTCTCTCCAGCCCTGAGCATGCCTGCTTGAGTGATCAGTACATACTACTGCAGAACACAGTAATCAGGGCAGAAATGGAATATAGAGGTATGACAGCTATGTTCTAGCAGCCACCATTGCCAGGCAGAAAACAATCACAGAGCCTGGTTACCTCCCTCTACCCTTCCAAAGCTCAGGACCCCACACTCTCTTAGAGCTAGCAGTGGGCCCCAGAAGTAAATGTAGCAGCAAGTGTCTGGGAGACAGCTCATGAATGGCAGATGCACACTGCAGCTAATCTCAGCTACAGAGGTGAAGGAGCTGAGGTCTGGCAGTCGCCATTACTGGAGGAAAACAAAGCCACAAACACACCAGCGACCTCACCCCAACCCCACCCCTTTTCACCCCCATCCACTGAGGCTGATCCTAGAAGGTGCTCTGGGATACCTCAGGCAGCACGACACTGCATCTGGCTGCTGTGGCAACACCAGGAGTTCAGGGGCTCCTCAGGTGCTTGGAACACCATTGCCTACCACATTCTCCTATGGGGGTGGAGCCCTGGGATCCAAGCAACCTGGTAAAAAGGAGAAATCCACCTCCCTAGGGAATAAAGGGCATATTTTTGTCCAGCAGAGATCCTGGATGCCCCGGCAGAGCAAGAGGCTCGTGAGACACATTCTGGGGCGGTGCAGCGGGGAGCGGGGGAGACTCTTCTTCAACTTGCACCACTCTTAATAATAAAATTTGTTTAAGCATAATTATTCCCATAAATGCCATCAAATACCATGAACAACCAAGGTAATAAGGCAACTCAGAAAAATAATAATCTCCCCAAAATAAACTTAAAGACATAAAAATATGTGATTTAAATGACAGAGAAATTAAGATTGCAGTTCTCAAAAAACTCAATGACATGCAATAAAACTCAGATAGGCAGTTTAATTAATGAGAAATAAAATCAACGAACAACAGGAATACTTTCCAAAGAGACTGAAACTTTAAAAAGAACCAAATAGAAATTCTGGACCTAAAGAACTCGATAAAAGAGATGAAGAATGAAACAGCGAGCTTAGGAAATAGAGCTGACTAGATAAGAATTAGTGATAGTGAAGACATAATCTGGTAATGATGTAGATGGAAGGAGAGACTTGAGAGTAAAAAAAAAAAAAAAAAAGAATTTTACACCATCAAAAAAAGCAGTATAAGAATAACAGATATGCCAGAAGGAGAAGGGAAGGAGAAGGGAACACAAAGATTATTCAAACAGTTGACAAGAACATCTCAAACCTATGGAAAGACCTAAATCCAAAAACCAAAAAGAATACTTAATTTCCTCAACCCAAAAAATCCTTCTCCAAGGACATGATATTAAAATTGTCAAAATTAATATCAAAAAAAATTCTTGAAGCAGCCAGGAATAAAAAGACAGTAACCTATAAAGATAAACCCATTAGAATATCATCAGAATTTTCAGAAGAAATTCTACAAACTAGGAGGGAGTGGAATCAAATGTTCAAACTATTGAAAGAGAAATTGCCAGCCAAGAATAATATATCCAGAAAAGTTCTCCTTTAGATATGAAGAAATAAAGATCTTTTCAAACATACAGAAGCTGAAGAAATTTTCCACCACAAGGCCTGAATTAAAAAAATATTAAAGAGTATTATTCTACCTAAAACAAAGAGATAAAAAGATGCAAAACTATGAGAAAGATGACTAACAGAGAGACAGAAAAGGAAACTGCAACCCTTATTCAGAAAAAGGATTTGTACACTTAAATATTACATAATAATTAAAGGAGGTAAAAGCATTTTAACCCATTTCCTGTTTGCCCTGAGAATATTCAATGGCAGAAAGTAACCCAACATGATAAAGGCCATATATAACAAACTTGAAGCTAATATCATATTTAATGATGAAAAACTAACCTTTTTTCTAAGAAACAAGACGAGGATGCCTGGTCTCATCACTCTTATTCAATATAGCTTTGGAAGTCCTAGCTAGAGTAATCAGGGAAAGGAAAGAAATGAAAGGTATCAAAATCGAGACTGAAGAAGTCAAATTGTCACCTTTTGCAGATGACATGATTCTCTATATAAAAAACCCTAAAGACTCCAACAAAAAAACTTAGATACAATAAACAAATACAGTAGAATTGCAGGATACAAAATCAATGTACAAAAATCCATTGTGTTCCTATATACTAACAATAAAATTTCAGGAAAAAAATGAAAAAAACAATTCCTTTTGCAATTGCAACAAAAAGAATAGAATACTTAGAAATAAACTTAACAAAAATGTGAAGAAGCTATATACTAAAAACTACAAGACATGATTAAAAGAAATTGAAGAAGACACAAAGAAATGAAAAGATATTCCATGAAAATGGATTGGAAGAATCAATATAGTTAAAAAGCCATATTACACAAAGCAACATACAGATTTAATGCCATCCCCATCAGAATCCCAATAACATGTTTTAAAGAAATAGAACAAAAAACTCATCAGATTTGTATGGAATCACAGAAGCCCCCAAATAATCAAAGCAATCCTGAGGAAAAAGAATAAAGACAGAGGTATCACATTGCCTGACTTCAAATTATACTACAAAGCAACAATAATCAAAAAGGCATGGTTCTGGCAAAAAAACAGACACACAGACGAATGAACAGAATTAAGAGCCCAGAAATAAACCTATATATAT